TTCAACTGTATTTTTTCCCTTCAAAAAGCAATATTTTATCTACACGCGAAATTCCTTTTTATCCATTTTTTTCACAATAACAAAAGTTGCTTCACTAAAAATGCTATAATTCACAAACTAATGATCCGACAACCGTCAAATTTATAGACGCGTCTTTTGAAGGTTAAGACTAACTGAAAATCACATGGATTTAGTTCTGGTGCCGCCATCTATGTGTCAGGCCGGGGACTTTTCAATTGACCCTATATTTCACGATACACCGCCATCTACTGACATTTTCTGCTAACTGTAATATTGCATAAGGTTTGATAAGGGCCTTACTAAGGTATCTATTGACAAACTGAATATATGATGCAAAAAATTAATAAAGAACATTAAAGTTTTGGTTAGAAATTTATTGATTTATTGATTCTCGTCAGCACGCTCAGGGCAGTTTTGATAAGTTACCGATTAAATTCAAGTTGCTGATTTGAATTAATAGAAGAAAATTAATTCAATGGGCTATTGTTGTTATTACTTTTTAAATTTGCTTATATAAAATGATGATTACGTGATGATATTACACTACATAATATGTGCTAATATTCAACCTCCGTTTTCAGTTGTTTTGGTAAGGGTAATGCCTACAAATTCAAACCAATCAATAGCACATGCCTATTATACACATGTATTATATATCTTTCAAAAAAACTGATGCAACGTAGACAGGATACAACACAGAAAATCCAACCCTCCTGAAATTCCTATCATATTGAAAAGTAGAGGTATTTTAAAATGCCGTGGGCCGCGTAATGCGCAAGGAGCGGACCTTATTGCATTCATTTTGTATCTACACATTGAAAAAGTTGTTCTAATTGCTAACTACGTAAACGATGACAGTCATATAGCCAATATTTTTAGAGAGAGTAGAAATCAATGAACTCGCGGAGTTTTGTCACTGCACAATGCAAGGTCATGACCCGCGAGATTCCAAACTAACTCTACTATACAAATATTAAAAGTTTTAAAAAAATATAAGTAACAGGGTTGTTTATTACAACTGACTTATTATCTTTTTTTGGATTCTATATGAAAGTTCGTTGGCTTTTGACGCATTTTATTATTTATTGTTGACCTACTTTTAGCTTATGGAAAAACAGTAGGCATTTTCTTCTTTGATATTTATTTGTGACCATGTCGTCCTTTTTTACATTAATAATAAGACGGATTAATTCAAAAGCTAACAAAAAACTGGAGAAACTTCTTACTGGGTCAAAAACAAATGTAACTTTAGGCAAAATCGCAAAAGAAGCATCAGTTGAGAAAAAAAGGGGCCATGATTAATGAAAGTTTGAATTTTGGGCTTCTGGTTTGTTGTACAACCCACGGGGTCACAATTATTTCAAAAGCAATTCAAATAAGTACCTATAACTGTCAGAGTAAATCCATTTGACCCCACTTGATTTCCTTTCAAAACGTCGTTTCTAAAATGAGATTGGAAAATGGGCCGGAGAAAATTGCAGGCGGAAATGTATTTCGAATACTAACGAAATTTCTTACTACCGGAACTTTTTGTTTTGTAATAATGAAAAGGATTCCTTGGAGGGCTCTTAAAATAAGTGAAACATTTTATAAAATAAGATCCACTAAATATGAGATGCGAATCGAAAGTATCCGGAATCCTAATACAGTAGAATCTCTTGAAGTCAAACCTCGATAGGTCGAAAACTTCCAGACTCGAAAAAATATTTTGTTACCTTCCCTTCAAGCCTCAAAACCTCCATTACTCGAAATATAAACCCTCTATTGGTTGAAATAATCAGTGAGTCCCTACAAGCCATTTTGGTACATATTTTCCCTCTATAACTCGAAAAATTAAATTGGACCTCTGTATCTCGAACATAGCAATGTTTCATTTTACAATCATGACAACTCGATAATTTGAAACTTATTATTTCTATAGTTCGAAGAAAATTAAATTATCGACTTTAAGGATTTACCGACAATGAAAGTACACCAAATCTTAACCTCTAAGTCGAATCAAAATCCGCCTAAGTCAAAATTCTTGATGTTCGAGTTATAGAGGTTCTACTGTATGTATTTGTTTGTTTGTTTGCTACCACTTCAAGCCTTATCTACTCAAACGATCATCATGAAATTTAGAACCCAACTTGTCAGAGGTACAGCAAAGGACATAGGGTGCCTTTCATCCACATAAAATACTGTTCCCGAGTGATAGAAAGAATTAGTTTTACAAATCATTTCAAACGGTTAGATACGTGACCTTGGGGAAACCTGTGCGAATAGAATTAATACACACTTGACTTGAGTAAAACAGAAATAGCTTGAATTTTAAATGCTATTTTCAATTTTTAAATACGCGAGTGAAGCCGCGGGCAAAAGCTTGTGATTTAATAAAAAGCTAACAAGTTACATTTCATTTATAACATCATGCATCAACACCACCTTCAAAGAGATGTCCACGTGAGGTTATATACATATTTCACTTACTCTCTCGTCCTGCTTTACGTATCCTCTATAAGTCTTTCCCAGTCAACATGTTGGGGAAGATCGGCGATTTCTCTTAATTAGATCGCTTCAATGGACGTAAATCTTCCTTGCAGGTGACGTTATGATTTATAAAACAGCAAAAAGTAAGCCAGCCCGAGATAAAAATGTTCAGTCTCTCAGAGCATCTGAAAGCGAGACTCGAGTCTCCGTCTCTCATCGAGTCTCTCTGGTGTCGCTGAGAGAGCCTGTCAAAAAAATTGTTTAGCGTGTCGGAACGAGAGACTGGAGTCGCTCATAGAGAGATTCTCATTTCGTATCCAGTCTCTGAACTAGAGACTCGAATCTCTGAACGAGAGACTGGAATCTCTGAACGAGAGACTAGAATCTCTGAACGAGAGACTCGAATCTCTCAATAAGTGGTGTCTCGATAGGTATGGTTAAAATTTTCTAAGTTCAATATATTTCAGAGATCCCAGTCTTTTTACGAGAGACTCGAGTCTCTCAATTGTTCAGTTTTATTCATTCAGTTTCTCTGTGAGAGACTCGAATCTCTGAATTAACAATTTTATCGTTCGAGTCTTTCATCAGAGACTGTGAGAGATCCATAAAAACACCTAGGCAATAACTGAGAGACTGTGAAGGACTGCGAGAGGCGCTCTCAGAGACGGTGAAAGACTCTGAGAGACTGGAGAGAGACTGAAAATTTTTGTCTAGGGAGGACAATATGTGCGGAGTAGACTGGGTATGGTGATCGACGACAAAACTGGGAATGAAGAAAGACAATTGTTCAGGACTTAACGTAAAACCGCTTGAACACCTACCCTATTCCCTAGCTAACTTTGCTGTTTTTGACGTTTAAACTGCATCTAGAAGAAATTTTTTAACATCTTTGAAATATTCATGAGAATAAAAACTTCCAGAGGGCATTCCAAGAGTGACAGAAACGATACAGTGAACCTCAATACTACATTGACAGCGTTGTACAAAAAATGCATTTAATTATTTTTTTATAAGACTTTTGGCTTGCACCTCTTATAAGTGCCTATCTAACTAACAATGCTTCATATTGCGATTTAGAAAGTCGTCTAAGAGACAAAGTCAGTTACTTGTCGAAAAAAGAAGCAGCTTTTGCAGCACCCGGCCTTTTTGGTTGCTACATTTCATAGCCGAAGAGCCTGAAAATATTGTAGTGGCTGAAGATAGAACTCGCGATCTTGAGATAGCAAATTCTAAGAAGGCATGGCTTCTTGACGATCCTGAAAGAGCACAACGCGGAATAATGTTAAGGTACACGATTTGTATTTCATTTGTATTTGCTACATCTTTGATTTGCAATTTGATTAAGTGGAAAAATTCCTAAAAGCTTGTCGATGAAATGGCAGTAACCTAACGATTTCAGGTTGAATTATTTGATATCTCTTCAAAAGCAGGAGTTTGAAGAATCGGAAGGTTGGGAAGGGGAATACTTAACTCTCGAATTAGTTAAACGCAAACGTTTTCCACCTGTTAAAGAAACTGCAAGTGAGATATATAAAGATTATCTACTTCCCGAATATGAAGATGAAGACGGAGATGATCTCCCATATTCGGAGAGAAGCAGGTCAGAAATGGAGAAAAACATTTATCAGTTATTTGTCTTATTACACTTATGTGTTTTTTATTCATACATTTTCGGCATGTTTTTATAAAAAATCCCAAGTCAAAAATTTTATGGATATGTTAGCTTTCACATCAAAGATTTTTGAGAAACGAATAATAAAATAAGAAGATTATGAAATTCAGTTAAATTTTTACTTCCAAAAATTGACTTTCCGAAATATGATGTAAAGAAAATGTTTATTATTTAAAATACAATCAGCATCGCAGTGTTTTCATAAAATCTCCTAGCACTAATTAAAAAAGATGTAATAATGACAAGTTCTGATGTACCTAATGTTGTTCTGGCGATATGGTACAATTTTCTTAAAATACATACAGTGTAAACTCTTTATAACGTTACTCGATTTAACGACACACTCCTTAAAACGTCGAAAATGCTTGACTTTGGTTGGTTTACATTATTTTCTATACAATATTACACTGTATATAGCGTCACGCTCACTCTATTTATCGACAACAATGCCGCATTATAAATCATTGAGCAGTGCTTTCTAAGTTGCCGAAATATATAAGAACTGCGGCTGTGTATGTTGTTGAAGAAGATGATCCTGTCCTTCCACCAAGCATCAAACAAGCACTTGATGCAGCGAAACTATTAAAAAAATACTTTTTATATAAACAAATTGATCCAGCAGTATCTCAAGATATGAGTAAGATACGTAACAAAATACAATTAAAATATTGGAGCAGCAAAAAACATGAGATGAAGATAACAGGCTATACGCAATGTATGAATAATAATGTTCGTGTGCAAAATGTGTACTATATTGGTAAATGCATATTATTATAGAATAGTAAAATAATATCTTTTATTTCTCTCCATTTAACGACCACTCTTTATAACGCCGAAAAATGTTCAGTCTCTTAAGTGTCGTTATATAGAGTTTACACTGTATTTTAATAGGGTTGCAATATATAACAAGATGGATTCAAATTAGAGACTTATTTGCAGTTATTTTCTTATGACAATCTCCTATCAATATCAATTTCCAGAGAAGTAATGACTGAAGAGAATATACAAGAATTCCTTTTAAATCACCAATTAAAAACTGAAGAATACCAGGAGATGCTGTTCAATAGCCAAAGTAACCTTTCGTATTTAATAGCAGAGTTGAAGAATAGAAGAGAGTTTATGAAGCTTTGGTTAGAAGGTATAATAAAGTTTAAATTAGACCCAGTTTGAATCCGGTACGCGTCAGATCCGACAAAAAAAACAAACACCAACAATAATAATAATTTAATAAGTATAACAAAAACCTACCTTATGAAAATTGGTAATTAAAATTGCATTGGGATTGGTCGTTTGTCCCAATTTGTATTACTCGTATTTGTTGATTATTATACCAGATTATTTATTATTTCGGTGTAGTTCCGTTTCTATTGAACAAGAGAAGACAAAAGCATGGCCGAACTGTTGCAATTTCTGTCGCTTGTTGGTATATCAGGTTTTGATTATCGACGACTTTATAGTATGATTTTGTCACCTTACAGACTTTTAATATTTCAACGGTTTCAACTCAAAGTTTTCGTTGAAAATCCGCCAACCAAAAATTAAAATTTCGTTGGTTTAGTGTTTGACTTTTTGAACGGGACTTGGGACGTTGGTGAGGATGATATTTATTGAAAAGCCAGTAAGAACGTAGACATGAACCATTAATCACATAAGTTTTGCCGGGTACCCAGAACAGATCATGCTGGGTAGCCGATTATCCGGTATTCCGCAAAATCACTATCCGGTGCAATTCTAAATTAAATATCATAATATTTAGACTTGTTGATGGAGTTATTTATTCGCCCTTTCGTCTAAAACTGTGCTTTTCATTCTCAGGGAAAATAGCAAAGGGCGTAAGGTACTTGGTTGTACTAAGACTGTCTCACTATTTCATGCCCATCGCTACCTTCTTCGAGAATGCTAACTACAGTTGTTGACGAAGCGTTGAATAGGTACACTGTCTATTCTGTAGGGATTTTCACTAAACAATGGAAAAATCCTGGAGCACGTTCATTAAACCTGAATACCTAGGATGAATGATGATGACGACGGCCGTCAAAGCCTTAGCCTTTTCTTCAATAGTTATGTAAAATAATTTTTTTTTGAAGACCGTGTTTGTACATTTCAGAGGTCAGAAATGAGTCAATGGAGTTACTGAAGGATGCGCTGGCAATTCGACAAAGATACATCGACTGGCTAATCAAAGAGGAAGAAAGCAAGGTTCCACCTCCAAAATCAGGCGGTAAAGAAAAGGACAAGAAGAAAGATAAGAAAGGGAAGAAGAAGTGATTATTTTGTTTGGAAAATTAATCACTAATATTTTTTAATTGGTTGTAACCATTATCTTATTATTTACTTATAGATATCAAGCAATAAAGTAGTTTTCATAATTCTGGATATTTGTAACTAACATTATTTTATTTATAAATGAAATTCGCATTTTTCATAAAAGGAAGAAAATCAAGTCGAGTGCTTCACTTTCTAAGCTGTTAAAATTTCAATATCAAAAGATAATTTTGCGTACTCTGGCTGGCGTTTGTTACACACGCTATTTCATACAACCCCATACAAAGAAATCAAACGGATGAGCTGGCCTGAATACAGGACCTGTACGTCTAATCCACTGTTTAGAAAAATAATCGTCTAGAAACTCACGCATTCAGCAATGCAATAATACTCTGTACTGACCTATGACACTGACATATTGACCTACTTCTAATGACTTTTGCTATCTACATACATACGCAATATGAGCCTATACCGTTAAAAAAAAACAAACTTTAGACAGGTTCTACGTAGCAGCTGATTGAATGCGGCGTTGCAGTGTCCTATTTCCCTGAGAGATACAACCAGCGCCGGACTGGCCTTTGCCTGTACTTCCTCGACAACAGTGGATTTTCAGACCTTACTTAATTTTTCTTACTTTATAGTATCCTATCATCTTCTGCAAGCTTGCCACTTATTTCAGAAACACTTTGTAAAGCTTGCTATATTTTAAAACCTCCATTTAGTGCCACAAACTAAGCAGGAGAGTAACCATAGGTAGATTCTTTTTTCACGTGTCACGTTCATACTTTTATTCTATTTGTACTAACTTATAGTCTATATAATCCTAATTTAATGGTTAGCGAATATTATTTTATTACATACTAATTGAAGTACATTCAAATTGTGGTGAAACAAACAATGATTTAGTAACAACTTTGAAGCGTTCTTTTGCCTAGTCACAGGATCGAAAAAGCTGAACATTCCGCAAGGAAACAAAACAGACGGAGACTTTTTCGAAACTCCGCGCCGCCCATAATTTATTCGAATAATGAGTGCGCCGTGACCCTTTTAATTAGTCGAACACATACATTTATATACGTGTAAGTCGTAACCGCGGCAACGGTCTGGATTACGTGGACAAGTAATAGTTCGCTATGCTACTCGCTACTTATTCTTGAGTAATCAAGGAAGCGCTTTAGGGTACAAAGTGTGACATGTGCTACGGTAAATTTCCGGTTTACTCTGATACAGATGAGCTCGACTTGGAAAACTCCGGCGAAGACAATTGCCGACACCGACGGCTCATTATTTACAACTCTTTATTGCATTCGCGAATTGCAAGCGATGAGTTTGTTTGCAAAACAAAACGAAAAAGAGATCTAGGAAAATTTTACCACTGAAATAAATACTACTAAGTTTCTTCATTTTTTTTTATAAATAGCATCAAGGGGAATGTTTCGTACGTGGATTTATAAGGTGAACTTCAACTAATATTAACAGTTCTAATCACACCACAACAAATTAGTGAATATTAACTGAACTAATTAGTGAATTGAAAATATTAATTGAATCAGTGAAATTAGCACAAAATAAGTAAACGCAAATTAGACATGATTTATTTACGTAGGTACGTGAGGTAAACTAATTATGTCCAATTTTTTTTTGTAAAGATACCTATCATCATCATAAGGTCATCAATCCTCTGACTGGTTGGGCACCCACATCCACTCTATCCTATCTTGAGCTAATCTTCGCATTTCCCTAAAACTAGAACAACCCACATCCTTAACTATTTGCGAAGAGTAATCTAATCTAGGTCTACCTCTACCCCTCCTAACTCATGTCTTGACTAGACCTTCATGCCTGAGAAGGTGTCCTATCAACCTATCACTTATGTCTTATTGACTTCAATAGAGTCCTCTGTTCTAATATTCTTTCTAATATCTCTTAATTTGTAACCTTCTCTATCCACGGTATCCTTATCATTCGCCGGCAACACCACATTTCGAACACTTCTAACCTTTCCCTTTCCGCCGCGCCCACTGTCCATGTTTCGCACCCGTATAGCGCCTCGCTCCAAATATACACCTTTAACAACCTTTTTCGAATCTCTAAATTAACCGTTTGCGAGCTTAGAACTGACTTCTTTTTATTGAAGACGACACGACCCTGCGCTATCCTCTGCTTTATATCCCTACTATTCCTTCCGTTCTGACTTATCTGACTTCCTAGATACTTAAAGAAATTAATGCTTTTTGGACAATAACATTAGATATGAAGAGCAAATAAGTGTCATCGCTACAGGTGTACAACCTGATAGAAAAAAGATATTTGTATATAAATAACTCCAAGTAATACAGAAACTTACTGACTTTCATTACGATCTATGTTCTCCTGATGCTTCTAATATCTAATAATATAAAAATGAATTGCTGTTCGTTAGTCTGACTAAAACTCGAGAACGGATGGACCGATTCGGCTAATTTTGGTCTTAAATTATTTGTGGAAGTCCAGAGAAGGTTTAAAAGGTGAATAAACATGAAGGTTGTTAACTATCTTTCAGATGATTTGTCACAAATTAAATTTTTTTATTTAATTAATTATGGATTCTTTTTGTTTGTTTTAAGTTTATTTTATACAAAAGTTTAGGTCTTTTATTTATCGATTGAGGCAGTACGAAGTCTGCCGGGTCAGCTAGTATCTAATAATTTTTAATTTTTTCTATCTACGGTATTTTTAATTAACAGCTATGGTAACACTAATTTCCGAGGAGAGTGACCGTCTAAAATTATTCCAAACTAATCGGTTTGGTAAGTGACCTGTCCCTATTCCATATTCATGTAATAACCACTTCAAGCATTCTTAATGCGGTTAAAACGGATACTTGTACCTTATTAATAATATTTCTTACCTATTTAGGTATATTATGGACATTGCAAGCCCGATCACGCTACCTATTGCATTAGCAAATTAAATCAGGGTAGGCATATTTTTGAATCAGAAAGCATAACATCGTTTTTGCATAACACTATCGTAAACATAGGGTTTTTACTGTAATAAAACATTGATATGATTAACATGCACATCTATTTAACTGGTAAAGTACATCCTGTAATGCAAATAATTCTTCTCGCAATAGGTGTGTGTGTGTGTGTGTCTGATACAGAGTATCTGTATTCTAAATCCGTGATTACGTGTGGAATTTATATCATAATAAAAGTAAAACAAAAACTACGTATGTAAGGGAAGTAAAAGCAGTGAAAGTGAGACGAAAAATTGGAAGAAGTGGATGATTTTCGGTATCAAGAAGAAAGAAGCAGTAGATAAAACATAGGATTGCGTAGGATAGAGTCGCCTTTAAAAAAACAGAACACTTGTATGCTCGCGAACGGTTGATTCAGAAATTCGAAAAGGATTGTTACAGATGCATGTCTGGAGCGCGACGCTGGACGGGTGCGAAACATGGACTGTGGACACGGCAGAAAAGAAAAAGTTAGAAGCGTTCGAAATGTGGTGTTCCAGGCGAATAATGAGGATACCTGATTACTGTGGATAGAGGTTAGAAATGACGAGGTACTAGAAACAGAAGGAGAATAAAAAGCATCATGGAAGTCAGTAAGAATAGGTTGGTAGATATAAAAGGAAGACATATTAGAAACGGGAGATAAGATAAGTAGACGTAATAAACTAGATTAGATTACTTTTCACAAATATTTTAGGATTTGGGATGTTCTAGTTCTAGGGAAATGCGAAGATTAGCTCAGGATAGGAAAGAGTGGAGGTGCGTGTCCAAACATTCTTAGGATTGACGACTTTTTGATGAAGGTAACAATAAAAAATACGAATTTCAATTTGATAAATCGCAATTGTTAATCTGTCAAGTCTTTGATATGGAGAATTCGTTTACAAAAAGTACAACAGTAGATGCACTACGATTTTGAGATAAATTTTAAAGGAAATACACGGAGATGCTTAATATTAGGTGGTTACTTGAGACAGAATTATCTAACAGATAAAAGAATCACTATAGTGAATTAGCTTTCTACTAGTAACATCTAATTATATAGACAGTTGCATTGAATAGAAGAGTGGATATTTAATACAACACCTTAAGATTATTGATTTAAATATTTATTTGTACCTTGAAAACTCACTGCCGATCAATATTGAATACACTTCTTCATCAGATTAAGAATCGACACAGTACAAAAAAATTGTGAATTATTAATAAAATCGATACCACTCTAACATATTTTTCTGCGGTTTAGTGTGTTTTTCGCAACTTTTATTCGTGGGCAAAAATTCAGAATACTTTTCCGTATAGAAATGAAATACTCTATTACTTCGCGAAAAATTGTTTAAACAATTACAAATCTTAATGCACCTAACGTTTGTTAATTGTGTTGACGGTACATGCTAAAGTAAAACGTTTGTACGTACCTAATTATAATTTACGACAAGCAGTAGTAGTAGGTATCTACCTATATAGGAAAATTTTCGCCGGCTACGAACGCAAATAATTGTTTACTAAGTACGTGTTTGGCTTTTCAATTAAAATCAGAGTCTACAAAAGGCAGTAAATACCCTGATAAGTGGTGTCTTAAACATTTAGATACCCGTGTACATATCATTTTGTTGGCTCGTTAATGTGCATGACGCATTTTAACCTCGTTATTAACCACCGTTTTCTCGTTAGTGCCTATAAATTCAACAAAGTTCGTAAATTTGCTTGTTTATTTTGAAATCTCTTTTGAAACGTCGGCGCCGTGGCTGGAATCAAACGGAAATTAAAGTGCAATATTGTCGTTCCTTATATACGAAAGGACTCACACGGTGTCAAGCCATACCGAGCAGCTTAACATTATCGCAACAGACCTCCCTCTCAGCTTCAACGTTTTCTGTTTCCTCAATAATGTAGAAGATCAATAACGACTCCAATACGTTCCATCAATGATTTTTCACTTATAATAAGGCAGATACAAAAGTAGCAATCGTAAAGTGTTTCACTATATCTGTACTATAGCACAAACTGAGAGGAAATACTCATGAACAGTGGCGGCCCATAATGAAATGAACTG